CAAACAAAGCCACCAACCATGTGAGGCAGTTTTCGACTCTCAAGGAACGCCGGACGCCGTTTGCCGTTCGACGGCTGACGCGACTCGCCACACACGAATACGAATATCAAACAGCGTTGGTGGGCTCTCGAGACCCGGGACTCGGGGACTCGGTGACTCGGGGGCCCTGGAACCACAGACGTTGCGCTTGGAAGGTTTTTGGAGAGATATCCAGAGTAGAAGTCTGGCCAAAACTGAGGGTCTGGTGGCAACTGAGGGAATAATAGCCAAATTATTAAATAATTTAAAAAAATATTGAAATAAAGTTAATATTTCTGAGATTTAAGGCTATCTTTTGGGTATATAATTCATGTTATTAGTTAGTTATTTAGTAGAACTGGCTATAAAAAAGCCAAATATAACAGATCTGACGGCTTGGGAGCAAAGGCAAAATCAACAAGTAGAATCGTTTTGTTTGTCGCAATGACCTCTCCTCCGGGTCTCCTGGTCTCCTGCCCGGTCGGTCGGTCTCCTGTTTGCCTTTTTATGGCTTTTTATTTCTGTTGCTATTTGGACTTAATGGTTTTCCCTTCGGCCTTAGTAATCCCCTCACTTATTCTCGTAAAATAAACAGATCCAGACCATGGCTTTGGGTTTCCTTCCCTCTCCCCTAAGAAGGCCTGACCTTTGACACTGGTCATGACGATTAAGGCGGCGGGTAATTAATTTTTCTTCTTCTGTTTTTAATATCATTCTTATGATGGGCCTGTAATTAGTTTGTAAAATTAGCCACAGGTTGTTGTCGGTTAGCCCTTCTTGGGTGGCTCGGAATTCTTGGTTAAGTGTTTTTTGAGATATTATCGAATAGTTGGGGACTTCTTGGTAATTAGAAAAGTGTTTTGTTTATTTTCCTGAGAAAGTAGCCTTGGTATTAAATAGTTTCTACTTCGGTTGAGGGTCGATCGTTAAACTTTTGTCAGAGAGATTATTTATATACTTTTCTTTATACCCTTCCAGAGGGTAATCTAGTTTTGGTTACCTCCAGATTCGATATAGGCATGTCTGTCTATCAGCTTTAAAGCTATCAAGTTGAACTATAGCCCGAAGTTTTAGGGTAGAGAGAGTATTTAATTTTAATTTTTAGAGAGTATTTTAATTTAGCTATATCTCCCAACTAACTGTATTATATAAGCGGTTATTAAGTTCCCAGGTTGCATTAGCCTACGAAGCTTATGAAACAACCTATTTCTTTTATAATTTCTAAAAGAAAACATGTTTAATTATAAATTATAAATCGAAAAATATTAACCCTCATATTTCCATTGCCTACTTTTAAGGGCTCCAAGCAGCTAAATAGTAATAAATTGGAAAATTTTTCCGTTTTTTTGCCTATGATAACATTTCTGAATGTTCTATAGTTTAGTCAATATTCAATAAAATATTAAAAAAAAAAATAATTAAAAAATAGCGCCCTCCTCCTCGATTCTCATAGGTTGCACTTAAGCAGGCCCGAAAAATCTGAAAAATAGTGATTTATTTTTTTGTGAAGGTGTTTTTTTAAGAGTGCTTTTATTGTTATTGTAGTTGTTTCGCGTTGTTGTGGTGTGTTGGTGTTGTAGTTTTTTTTACAACAACAATTTTTTTTGTAGATTATATTACAACAACAATTTTTTGTTGTATTTTTTACAACAACAATTTTTGTTGTAGTTTTTTTACAACAACAATTTGTGTTGTAGTTTTTTTACAACAATTTTTTGTTGTAATTTTTTTACAACAACAATTTTTTGTTGTAGTTTTTTTACAACAACAATTTTTTGTTGTAATTTTTTTACAACAATTTTTTTGTTTTAATTTTTGTAACAAAAATTTTTGTTGTAATTTTTTTATAACAATTTTTGGTTCTTGTAATTTTGTTGTAATTTTTTGGTGATTATTTTTTTTTCTTTTTTTTTTTTTTTTAATTTTTAGAAGAAACTTTGATGCCCACCTATATCTGATATTTGCAGTATGTATCCGACAACATAAACTATAGACAAATTACAAGGGCATATTAACTTCGCCGCAACCCAAAGCCAACTTGCTTGATTTTATACATATATTCCATATGTCAAGAATCCCTCAAGAATCCCCCATTAATTAAACGCCTGACAAATTCTTATCGCCTCAAGGCTGTGTTCCCAATAAAACGACTGATTAGAACTCACATTGAGGTAATCAAAAGACGATTTTGGCAAAAACTGATTAGACCTTTAACAATGAAATGACAGAAAAGGCAACTTTCTGATTAAAATCTTCAAAGATTACAAACTTTCAAATCAGCTGTTAATGAAATTAGTCCACTCAAGCTGTGAAAAAGAAACCCATCTGAAAAAAGGCCATCGCCAAGGCCCAGTTAAGAGAGTTAACATTACAATGGACGGCAAACAAAAAAATTAAATACAATTTTGGGTGTCTGCGTCTGGGTCTGGCGCCCTAAATGAAGACAAATTGTAAATAAACGTAAATTTTCGAAACGACAGAGTGAAAACTTTGCGGACAAACATTTGGCGGTGGGGTTACATAAAAAATAAGAAAGAAGTGAGTAAGTGAGTAAGATATAAAAAAAAAAATAAAAGGTTTTCTGCAGCCGCCCCAAACGCCAAAATAGATGGCCATTAAAATAAAGTCTGGCAGATGGAGAGTAAACCCAAAAATCCCAACAACAACTGCAACAAAAATATCGTTACGCACAATATGCGAAGTTTTTGTTGTTGTTGCATGTGTAATTAAGCGAAATTAGGACAGTCCCCCCCTTGAAAAAAATACAACAAAAAAAATATAAACGAAAGAGATGCAAGTTACAATTTTTTGTAAAAAAGAAAGCCGAGGGAAAAAGACTCTACTCTTTATGGTGGAGTCTTCGTCTTCAAGCTTCGGTTTTCACAGTCTTCCAGTCTGTAGTCTTCGGCTTCCACTTCGGCTCTTGATGATCGGTTTCGCCCGCTCAAACTAAGCCAAGTTTTGTGTTTTTTTTTTTTTGGCTCATTCGTGTTTGCCGCTTATTACGTTTGTTGTCTGCTTTGCTGGCTGCCGCTCGGCCGCTGTCGTGCCCCCTTTTTTGGGGCCATATGACGACGACGCTGACTGCAGCAGAGCAGAGCAGCGACTGCGACCCGGCTTGCACAAAACAACAACAAAAACAAAAAAAAAAGCGTCAAGCTTGTTATGTAATAGCAGCCCCAGCGCCAGCGCCAGCGAACGAGGCGACGGACGGAACGGGCCATGGCGTCGCTACATTTTGTCATGATGCCGTTTATTTTTTTCCCCCCAAATTTTAGGCTTCAATTGGCCAACAAAAAATGGGAATATTTCAATATTTAAAAATAAAAATTAAAAAAAAAAAATCTCTTAATTTTAAAATATTTATATCATTTAAAGATATTTCTTTCTGAAAGCGTACTAAAATCAAAACTTATTATTTCTTTCTGTTACTTTATCGTCTATTTTTTCGGTTTTTCTTGCAATATTTTTTTCTCTAAAAAATTCGGAAAACATAGTTTTGGCCAAAAAAAGCGATTGCAACTGCAGCTGCAACGTCAAACGGCAACTCTGCTTGCAACTGCAACTTCCAGCGGTAGCTTTAACTAACTGTGGGCGACTCGAACTCTCAAATTGAAAGATAAAGTTGTGCATTATTTTTTGTCTTCATTTTTTTTATAATTTGCTGCGCTTTTTACAACTCAAGCCATGAAAAAGAGGTGAAACTAATTTTTGTGTTTGTATTTTTTGGTGTGGAAATCCCTCGAAGCTATTATGTAATGTGTGAGTATATGTTTTCTTTTTTATTTGAAAAATATTTTCTTTAGTGGGCGCTGGTTGGAAAATGTCACTCCCCAGATACCAGATACCCAGATGTGTGTATCCAGAGTTCAATAATTAATTCGATTGCACAACCCAAGCCCCCCAACTAAGAGACAATTGAAATTAGAAAGGCTATAGCTATGACTATGACTTCAAAGGCGAGCGAATTTAATTTTTTGCGGTATTTGAGAAACAAAAAGAGAGTCAGAGACAACAAAGGTTGAGCATCGTTGGCTGTGAAAGGTGAAAGGTGTAGATAATCGCCCAGAGAAAAGATCCAACAGAAATGTTAAATAAAATGAAAGAGTTACTGCCAGCCAGCCGGCCTGCCTGCCTGGTGGTCGGTCGGGTGAGAGATCTCTGGTGTATACAACACACAAATCGCGGGTGGTTTCGATGGGTTTAAATATATATATATATATATGTATACATCCGACTATACAAACATCCAAAAATGTTTGTGTTAAGGGTCTTTCTTTCTCTTTATTTTTATTTTATTTTTTTTTGTTTCTTGGGTGTTACGAATTCGAGTGAAATCGCAGCGCAGATATGCGGGGGAAAAAGTGCATGAATTTGTTTTTTAGGCCACCAACCAAATAGTTCCGGCATATACGAACTCCGAGTGGGGTCACAACTTTCGGGGCATCGAGAAATTGATTGGCAAAGCGAATGGAAATTCAATTTGTAATGCCCCCACCATCCCAAACCATGCCAGTGAGAGCCGGTCATCAGCGGGTGGTGTTCATGGCTAACGGTTAAGCTAAAGCCAAGTTAGACCTGAAGCTGAAGCTGCTGATATATCTCCCTTGTTGGCCAATTGTTATACATAAGCGGTGAAAACTGCCAAGAGGGTGTGAATGATGGGCCATTTGCATAAATTGCATAATTAAGGTGAGCCACTTGCTACACGGAAGTGGCGTTTTATAATGTATTCATAATTATGGTAATTCCAAGGATGTTATTGAATTTGTATAGTTCTTAAAGGTTTCGTTATAGTTCTTAAATTTTTCAGTAAGATTTGGCTTTAACTTTACATTTTTGTAAGGATATATATTTGAAGGATGGGTTCAAAAGGTTCTTTTGAAGCCCTTAGCATTATAAAAGATTTGAAGCCCCTAGCATTATAAAAGAATTTTAGGAAGCTCAGAAGAAAAAAGGTGCGCTCCGGTTTACAGAAAATGTCCTAGTAGGAGATCTCAATCCTCCTTGCTGGATTAAAAGTAAGAAAAAAATAATAATACTTTAATTTTAAGATTTATTTAAGAAAAAACCAAAGAAAAAAAACACTAATTTCTATTAAATTTTGGCACAAGTTTTTAAGAACAAGAACCAGTTAAAATACCCTTGCAGTTAAAATTGGAAACGTCGGATATAGTTTGTCGATCCTTAGAGTATAAATAAATTAACCAATAAACTAGTTATATATACAATAAAGCTAAAACAAAGTCCCAAGCTTCTATCTTCAAAAATAGAAAAGTTGGTATTTTTACCAAATACCAATAACCATTTCCGATCGTTCTGCTATATTTCAGCTATAACTTAGTTGGCCAAGTAACAAGTTTGAAAAAGCAAAGTTTATAGTAGGCCTAGACATAAGAGTACTTCAAGTTCTGAGCCCAGACACATCAGTCTACAAAAGCAACTGATACAGGCCAGTCCTAGCTGATAAATATACAACAAATTTAAATTTCATCAAAATATAAATAGTAAAATGGATACCTTTGAGGTCGTTACTAAGGGGCGATGTAAAGGGATCAGGATTCTTAAACCGACATCGACCATCCCACAACCTCCAAAAAGAACACCGTGGCCTCAAGAGAGTCCCATACTTACCCCAGAACTAATCGCCAAAAAATATGTCATTGTTATTGATGTGAAGGGGCGATATAAAGGGATCCTTAAACCGACATCGACCAGCCCACAACCTCCAAAACCGGAGTCACCTCTAAAACCGGAGTCACCTCCAAAAAGAACACCGTCGCCTCCAAAAAGAACACCGTCGCCTCCAAAAAGAACACCGTCGCCTCAAAAGAGGGCCCTACTTACCGCAGAACAAATCGCCAAACAACATGTCATTGGAACTTTTGGTCTAGAATTCGATAATAGCGATCCTGATTGCGTTGAGATAACGGCCACAGTTCAGGAGCCGAGAATACCCTTGAATTTTCGGGATCCTGTGCCTCCCGGCGAAGATAAGCTACACGAGCTGATTGTCTGCAACACCCAGGGTGAGCTGGTGGCAACAATACCTTTTCTAGAGAGCGACTACCGTCAGGTCCTCGCCGAGTATCTTGACCGGGACCGGATCTCCAAAGAGGGCCAGCCTTAGTCCTGACGTTATTTTTTTTTGTTTTTTTCGTGGAGTTCCTGAAGTCAAGAATCTATCTTCTGAAGATTTCCAAAATTATCGATAAACTTACCTCTCGACCCGCACTCACAGTCTACCTACTTTTCAAAGACTCTCAATGGAGGGGGTCTAGGGAGAACCTGGGCCCAGAACCACCCCGAAGAGCCCTGAGCGCAAAATCGGATTTACGGAGAAACCTCTTTGCTGCCACAAATTTTCCAAATTTCCAATTTCGTAATTTCTATAATCATTTAAATGTTAAATCAACTGTAAGGCTTCAGGCATTTAAAATAAATTATATTGTTTCAATTCAATGAATAGTGACTATGCTCTCCAAGGGTATAAAACTAAAAAAAAAAAAATAAACTAATATTTGGTTTAAAGGTTTAAAATAGATTTTAAATCCCAGATTTGAGAACGAGTAGTGTCTGTCTAAAATTATATCAAGATTGTTGGAGTGGTTCTCAAGCTACCCTTTTCAACTGATTTTTAAAAAATTGGAGAAATTCTGTAAACCAGAACGCCCTTTTATCCCTTGAGAGCGCCAAAAATGACATTGCAATGGATAAGTTCTTAATTTATTTGAACCTGTCAGAAATTGTTCTTTAAATCTAGATCCCTTTCAACAATCAAATAGAAAAACTTGTTTAGGATTCGGAGTAGTAGTAGCTCTTTCAATTACACTCGAGAAAGTATTACTCAGATCCTAAAAACATTTTTGTGGAATAGTCTATAGATCTTGTTGAGATTCAAATTAAATCTATTAACATATTGGCACCGAAGCCGATGAAACCTTTGCAGTGTTTACTATTCTATATACTGTTTACTATAATATACTATATTTAATGCATTATCCACTTGCCATAACCATTGCAATCTATTGTTTAGAAATCAAAAACCGCAAATGAACGTGTTATACAACATTTTCCTATCGAGAGCTGACTTATCGAATGACACTGACGACACCGATCGAAAGTAATCGTACCAGTTACAAAACCCCATTCGAGAGGTGAAAACTTTATTAAAATGATTTTTATTTTTCTCTCTTATTTTAAATATGCATTTAAATCTCTCTATAACCAATCAAATGGTGAACAATAGTTCAGAGACACGAAGGTTCGTGTCGAAATGTCATGGACCCTCTTACTCTCCCACACTTGGCACCCACTTTAGGTTAACTCACGCCTCCACCCTAGATATATTTATAAAAAAAAAAAAAGAAAAAATTCAACTGCCCGCATTGTTACAAGACCCTCGGGTTTCGTTTTTTTGTTCAACTTTGACTGTGGCCGGCACATAAATTTCCCTGAGCTGAACTTTCAAAAACTCAAAATGAAACAGCAACGATTTGCATTCGACTTTTCGTCGGACATTGTTTTTTGCATAATTTCCCTGGGAGGAAAAGTCAGCCAGACTATGGCTATAGCTATAAAAAAAAATCAGTTCACTGGCCAGCAAGACATCTCCAAACTCTTTTTGGAAGAAAGAAAGTCATTAAGTGAATGGTGGAGGAGAAGATGCCGCCGCATTGGAGTCACAAATTAGCGTTCAAATTAAGTGATTATTATTATTAGCCAGAGCCAGAGCCAGATAAGAAGATATACATTTTCGAAAATGTGTCTCAATAGATTGTGTGTGCTTTCAGTTAGCAGCTCATTTAAATGAAAGTTGACACTGCAGGGGATATTAGTACTAGTGGTAGTATCCCCCTCGGGTGGCAGTTACTTTCTAAATGCGTTGCACAATTTGTTCATCTCTGGAATCGATTTCGGCGGGGTAATTGCAATTGCAACTAATGTGAAATTCAATTTGCTGCCCCAGAAACAACAGGCGGAACAAAAAAACAAACTTTCCAAGTTGCAAAATTTTCAAAACCGAACGACAAATACAAAAAAAAAATTTGTTTAACTTTCCACAGAGCAGCAGTCGTAGCAGCAGCAGCAGCGGCAGGGTTATGTCATACCTGAGAGGTGAGGTAAGGAGGTTGAGGTGCGATTTCCCTCAAGTGAAACTGTAAGCTGTGGTTATACATTTTCTGTTTTTTTTTTTTTTTTTTGTATTTTGGAAAGCCGCAAAAAGGTAAAGTAAAAATGAAGTCGCAGCCGGCTATCCATAGGCCTCTGCCTCGGTTTTTAGTGCGTGGGGACAGTCGGGCAGGCCAGGCCAGGCCAGCCCCAACAACACAACCCAAAAAAACTCAAAATGAAAACGAAAGTGTGCGCATCCGCAATTAAAATTGTAAACGCGAGAGTTACCAAAGTAGAGGTAGTAGAAGCTCCGCTCCAAGGAAGCTCCAAAATGCGGTCAGTCATCTGGCAAATTAGAGGCAAGAGTCCCCCCTTTTGAGTGAAAATTTCGACCCAATTTGAGGTAGATTTCAACCAAAATGGGATTACCTAACTATAAATATTTATTTTTTTTTTAGCAAGGCCTCCTAAAATAGTAGTTGTTTTAGTTATCATTTAAATCTGAGGCACTGCCGCCCCGCCCCGTGACCCTTTGATGGAAACACCTCTAGTTATTTGGGGCACGCATGGTTATGCGACGCAACTGGTTTGCTTATCGACTTTCGGGGCAGTTGTTTTTTAGAGTCGTTATAAATGAATAATTGCGCCTGCCTGGGGTTTCCAAAATGGGTCACCCGAGACGAGATCGATTCCGGGGCTCAGGCTCAGATCGGTTCGGATCGGATCGATTCGAATCGATCGAGTTTCCCTTTTGTCGCGCAATGCCTCGGTAATCGATTTAAATAAATTATAATTACTCACGCGTCTGGTATACGAGTATATATCCTTGACTCGAATAAAAACTAACCAGAGTAGGGTATTTTATAGCTTTTTATAGGGGAGTTGGTACATACCTGTAATGAGAAAGGGAATTCAGTGGATTATTATTTAAGAATGTTTATGATCTATACATGAGAGAGAATATATTTAAGAACCTCATAAACTTAAGCCGAGATAATAAATTTCTTAAGACCCTAAATGATTCATGGCACAAATCAAATTCTCAGAATCTCAGCTTAAACATATATCCATCAATAAAACCCGAACCGATCCGAAAACGTATAAAATCTTTTAAGAAATAATATCGTAAAATATATGAAATCATTTTGTGATGATGACGACCGCGACGACGACATGCCAAAGTGAAATTAGCCCAAAGTTGAAATCCATTTAGAAATCTACATGAACCCAGATGCGTGTAAAAAGTAAGAAATACAAAAAAAAAGGTTAAAAAAGGGGGGTTTGAGATATAAACACTCGAGCTGTGATATTAATCCCTTCATAAATCAATGGCAACCGTCCAACAGCCGTCAAAGCTGACAGGGTCCCCATGCCGTTGAGAAAGACACCGATGTGGATGGGGGGGATACCAGGTTGTTTGTCATTTGGGCCTAGGCGTTGGCCCATAGCTGTCCATTTGTCGTCTATCTTCGTTGTCTCGGGCCTTTGTCATGAGCGACTTTTAGGGCAGCGATGGTGCCCACTTAAGGTATCTAGTCGATCGCATGATGAGACCCAGAGACTGGAGACTAGAGACCTGAGATCTGAGACTTGAAAGTTGACTTTACATACTTGGAGTTACTTGGAGTTGGTAGTCAGTCTACTTATTATTATTAAAATCTAACCCCAAAGAGTATTCCAACTCTTGAAACAATATAATACTCACGCCTAATCTCCAAATGGAGGACGTCGCTAGTTCGGGCCCAGTTGAAGGCAAAAAAATGCCATCTGCCTCCGACAAACTGACAAACCGAATAACTGGCCAACTAAAGTGACGTTTGAGGCAGTTTCACGGCCAGAGACCGGACCCAGACCCCGTTCATAGGCATAGTGAAAAGCTGGCTAGCTAGCTAGCTGCCTAGGCAGAGATGGCCCGCTGCCTCTATTTGAGTTATTCACACAAATTTCACGCCAATGGCCAACAAAAACAATAGAGTAGCTACTAGCTATTACAACAACACGTACACACTTAGTGGCGCCGAACCGTTGAATGGCCTTTTGGAAATTATTTCTGCTTGGCAACAATTGCAAAAGCCAGCCACAGCATTAGCCAGGCCATTGAGAGTTGGTAGTTGGTCGAGAGAAAATTGAAAACTATATGGATGGAACCAAATGGAAAATGGATATTTATGGTCTATATTATAGGCTCTACAGGGAGGATGGTCTTGAATCAAGACTGTTGGTTGGTACTTGAATAGAGGCACATGTTGAAATTAAAAGATAAGCTAAGGAAATAGTTTATGGATTTAAGATATATATTATTTGGTATTTGAATTCTTAGACTTATGATGCAATAGCTATAAGATAGTCTCTTCGGCAACTCTTCGAAGTCCTTTAACAAAATAACAGATTGTGAGTGAAACAGTGATGACTAACAAATGTGAAGTTAACCTTTACACGGCGACTAATTTCAAGTGGAAATATGGAAACTTAGGATGTTAACTACATATGGTCTTGTCACCTTTTTAGGATGTTAGCTATAAGAACTAATAGGTCTAAATATGATATATAGGTATCATATTTATAGGTATATATATATAGGTATATAGGTATAAATATACCTATTAGACCTATTAGTTCTTGTAGTTAACATCCTTAGTTTAGTCTCGTATCCCATGAATGTTGATCTCAATCCCCTTCTAATCTTTAATCTCTATTTTATGATTAAGTTTTTCAGCTTCCTGGTTTCCAACTCTGAACTGTTTTAAAAGCGATCAACGCCAACCTAATCCCCATCACCATCATCATCATCATTATCCATGTAGTCTTGGAGTGACAGGAGAGGGGCTATGACTATGACTATCTATTATTAAGTCGGAGTTTGGCTCTGTCTCGGGCGACTTTCACGCGCGAGTTTAAACGCTCGCAAAACGCATCGCTGCACAAATTTGCATTTTGCTTCACAAACACACACTCTAGTATGGCTATATAGCTATATATCTCTATATATATTAAAAAAAATGGAAAGCAGCAGCTACAACAACAACTGACAACTGTCATAAACATAACTCGGGCTCAATTGAGCTTTGTTGGTGTCTTGGTTTGGTGATATCGCCTGAGCATATCACCGCATAACGATTTCCCCCATAGCCCCTTCTTTTTTTGTAAAAAAAAAAAAAAAAAAACACTTGAAATAATATTTTTAAGAGTAATAATGTTAAATATTTAGGTTGAAATAAAGCCACTTTTTAAGAAATTAGATATCTTTTAAAAAAAAATTTTCCTTAACATAATTATGACTAATATTTTT